ACTGGTGATGCCTGGAATCTTATGAAGCAGCTGTAGTTACAGACCCAGAAAGGCCTTGGCCTCCCACTTGCTCCTGAGAAGCCCTCTGTTCTCAGCCACTGCTCCGTGTCGTAGAGGCCCACAGGCTTGCGACCACACAGCCAGACCTGACCGTGGGCTTTTCCTCTAGACCCCCTTCTCTCAGAGCACTGTGTCCAGTGCTCACATGTGCAAGCTATCTGAGCAACATTTCTGACTGGGGAAGCTGTGTTTAATGTGAGATTTTTAAGTAGGAATCTCAAAACAATGTAGACCTTTGACCAAAACTTTGGTGCCCCAAACTCTGGTGCTGAGGTGGTCAGCCACGTGTTAGAAGGCTGAATTGAGTCGGAAATGTTGGCTAGGAGCAAAAACTACTGTGGGATCCAAACACATTTTGAAGTATCCAGTTGAGTTCATCAGAGACTGATGGGGGATAAATGTAGTTTTTAGATGCCAGAAAAAATATATGTGATTTGAATTAGAAATGTACAAAGTTTTTTTTTTTAATTTTCAAGAGGAAATTAAAAAGATATGAACAGATCAGATAAGACTCTAATATCCATTCAAATAGAAAAACAACAGAGGAGCAGGTCAGATTCCAGTATGAGAAACATCTGCGAGCTTTTATAATCTGCTCACAGTTGGATTCAAATGCTTCTCATCCCCAATTCAGAGCAATAGACCTGTCACGGCGCCAGAAGAAAGCCAGGTTATTTGGTTACCCCAGGAGAGGATCTCTTGGCTATAAGCAGTGTTAGAGGTTTTGCCAGCTTTGATCATCTGTTATTTTACATGGGTTTTGTTAGAGCTGCAGACATTAATATGCCTTCTCTAAAAGACGACTAGCTCCATAATTTACCCAGAGGTCTCTGCTCCTGGGGTGGAGGTTTTAGGTTGTCTAACAATTTTTTGCCAGTTTGACCTAATGCCACTGAGTTTAAAATGAGTTCAAGTTCTATAGGCCTGGACTTCCAAACAGTTGCATTTAGGCTAAACTTATTTAGCAGTAACATCCTTGTTTGACCCAAATGACCACCAGGGTGACCCTCTGTCTTGCACGGATTATAAGTGTGGTCCTATCTTTTGGAACGATTTCTCATGGTATTATTACCTGTAGGGTGGACGCACTTGAGGCTGTCAGGGATAGAGGTGGCTGAGGGTCAGCGGGTGATGTAGACGTTCTTGTTAGTTTCAAGCACAACTGCCTTTGGCCCTGGCAGGGTCTGGTTCCTTGCAGGAAAACAATGGGCGCCCATCCCTGGGATCTTCAGCCGTTCCCAGTGCCTCTCCCTGCAGAGGCAGCAGCTGCTCACCAGCCCCTCCGGACGGGCCCGGCCACGCTGTCGGGTGCACCCATGAGCCTGCTGTGAACACTGAGGCCGTATTTTTTGGGTCCCATCTTCCACCTGCTCCTGTTCGCTTAGGTCTGGCTGGGAGCCCATCTACTGCCCTCCTGCCTCGGTGGACTCCACTACACTGACCCCCAGTCCGCCCTCACTCCCCCTGCAGACACCAGGCATATTAGTCTCTCCCTACACCCCCAGGCCGTGTCTCCACCTCAGGCCAGCACCTGTAGTTCTCCTTTACATCCTTTTCCTTGACAAAAGTTCTCCCCTTGGAGAAGCCAAGCGTCCGGGTCATCGGCATCCCGGGGTCATTTAATGAGCGTGGATTCCGTCTCCGGTGTAGATTCTGTGCTTCCTTCCTTTTGCCCAGCTGCAGCCACCCTGGCTCTCGCCTCATCCGTGGACCAGTGCCAGCTCCCCACCCTGTCTCGCCACCGCCATCTCTTCCTCTTCTCAGCCTCCACGTGAGGTTGCGTGCAAACAGGCTTCAGCCAGTGTGCTTGGAATGCTGCCTTGAGACTGGTTCTGAGGCTGCACCTGGGACTGAGTGCCACGGTTGAGGGAAGGAGGGGACAGCGGTGGGCAGCGGGCCGTCCTGACCCTCACCGGCTCCGGTTTCACTCCTTCCCCGACAAGAGCTGATCTGACTTCCTCTTGACCCTACTGTCCTTCCGGTCCTACCCCCCTAGCTCTTTCTTGCCCGTCTCTTCTCCTGCTCACCTTGTCCCCCCGCATCCCATGCTGGCCTCGCCTGGCCACTCCCCACAGCTCCCCTCACACATGACTTGCTACTGAGTCTGGCTACCCTCATGCTGGGAATTAACACCTCTAGACCCATGGGAACCCAGCACCGTGGCCCACATGTCGGGTTTGTTCAGGACACCCCATCACACCTGTGCATTCAGTCAACACTGAAGGCAGGACTCGTGATGAGGAACCTGCGGGATCCTCAAACGGCTTGATCAGTTGAATGCAGGCCCAGAAAGTACATTATTTTTAAGCAAAGGACTCAGCCCCACGGAGCCGAAAGGAAATAGTTCCCAAGAAAAAGAAGCCAAGAATGTGACTTAGAGTGTTGCACGATACTGGCCCGAGGCAAGTCATTCTCATTCCCCATCAACCAAAACGGGGGTATCAAAATCACATGCCTTGTCAGTGGGCCGTGGAGGGACGACGCCAGCCCTGTCTGAAATGGATTAACAGCTAGGAAAGAAGTGGTTGTCCCAGGAAGCCTCAGGTGCACGCACGCACTGCCCTTCTCCTCCCAGATCCCAGCTCTTTCAGTGGAGCTGGTTTTCTTGCGGGGGGTGTGCCGCAGCGGGTGCTCTGAAAGTCTGCAGTGTGGCCTAAGCAGAGGGAATAGGCAAGGACGGAGGGGTGGCTACTGCTTGGTGACTGAACCGAGAAGACCTCAGAGGGTCTCCGGAGACCCCAGCTTGGTGCCTCCTCCCTCCTGCCAGAGGGCTTTGCCAGCTGTCTCCCACCACCAGTGGCCGGGGAAAGGTCCTGATCCTGGAGGGCTGCCTACCCCTGGGCACCATCTTGTAACACCATTAACTCTCATGGGATTTTCTGTGTGTAGCTCAGCACTCATGTGTGGTTCCACTTAACTATTATTTCATACACCCAAACCTGGTCCTCTGGACTTTATTAAACAGTTAAGTCTCCTACATAGGAACGCGTTCCGTTCTGAGATCACGTTCGTAAGTCCAATTTGTTCGTAAATCCAACGAAGCTAGCCTAGGTGCCCAGCTAACTAATATGATACTCATAACTAATATAACTAATTATAACTAATATAATCAGCTACATTGTACTGTAATAGGTTTATAATACTTTTTGCACAAATAATACATAAAAAACACACAAAATAAAGAAAACATCTTTGATCTTACAGCACGGTATCTTGAAAAGTGCAGCAGTGCAGTACAACAGCTGGCATACAAGGGCTGGCATCGAGGGAACAGGCAAGAAGAGTTACTGACTGGAGGAGGGGGAGGAGGTGGGAGATGGTAGAGCTGAAGGGTCGTCAGCAATAGGAGATGGAGGGCAAGCTGCAATTTCACTCTCGCCTGACATTGATGGCACAGGTTCTGGTTCCTTGCTGGATTCAATTCTGTCTACCCTCTTGAAAAAACGATCCAGTGACGTCTGGGTAGTAGCTCTTTTTTCTCATCATAGATGACCCGGTAGCACCGGATTGCATTCTGAATGGCTGCTGCAACCATTTGTAGAGGATGCACACACATGGCAATGTACGCCAGAGACGTGAACTAACTCACGTGACTGGACGTGCAAATCCACGTTCACATCTTTGAAAGTTCACAACTTGAAGGTTTGTATGTAGGGGACTTACTGTACGACCATTGAGCAGAGAGCACAGACAAGCAGGCCAGCTGTCCATTGAAGAGCAGATCAGAGAAGGCTGAAATTCTAGTTCCAGTCCCAGTTCTGGGTGGAGACTGTCCAATGTGGACTGTAAATAAAGCCACCCATTGGGTTCCATACCAGAAACAGAGTCCTTGTTTGGGTCAAAAGAGAGTTATCTGGAAGTCAAAGCTGTGCCCCCTTGCTATGGATTTGAGGAGACCTGCAGGGAAGATTTTTTTTTTAATTGAAGTATAGTTGATTTACAATGTTGCATTAATTTCTGCTCTACAGCAAAGTGATTTAGTTACACATATGTATACATTCTTTTTTATATTCTTTTCCATTATGGTTTATCACAGGATATTGAATATCGTTCCCTGTGCTCTACAGTAGGACCTTGTTTACCCATTCTATATATACTAGTTTGCACCTGCTGGTCCCAAACTCCCAATCCATCCCATCCCCACCCCCCGCCCCCTTGGCAACCACAAATCTGTTCTCTATGTCTGGGAGTCTGTTTCTGTTTCATAGATAAGTTCATTTGTGTCATATTTTAGATTCCACGTATAAGTGAGTATGTGTTTTTGTACCATATATGGCACAAATACCATATATGGTATTTGTCTTTCTCTTTCTGACTTACTTCACCTAGTATGATAATTTCTAGGTCCATCCATGTTGCTACAAATGGCATTATCTCATTCTTTTTTAAGGCTGAGTTGTATTCCATGGTATATATGTACCACGTCTTCTTCATCCATTCATCTGTCAGTGGACATTTAGTGTCTTGGCTATTGTAAATAATGCTGCTATGAACATAGGGGCGCGTGTATCTTTTTGAATTATAGTTTTGTCTGGATATATGCCCAGGAGTGGAATTGCTAGATCATATGGCAACTCTATTTGTAGTTTTTTTGAGGAAACTCCATTCGTTTTCCATAGTGGCTGCACCAACTTACATTCCCACCAACAGTGTAGGAGGGTTGCCTTTTCTCCACACCCTCTCCAGCATTTGTTAGAGACTTTTTAATGACGGCCATTCTGACCGGTGTGAAGTGGTATATCATTGTAGTTTTAATTTGCATTTGTCTAATAATTAGCGATGTTTAGCATCTTTTCATGTGCCTGTTGGCCATCTGTACGTCTTCTTTGGAGACATGTCTGTTTATGTAGGGAAGACTCTTTATATTTAAGATAAAGCAGAGGCCACATTGCAAAGGTGCTAGAGAGACTTTTTTTTTTTTAATGAAAGAGCTGAAAAGAGCTTGGATTAAGGAAGCAGTGAATCCAGACTGTCACAGTGTTGCTCTGATGGTGACACGGACCCCTTTGGCTGTAGAACAAGAAGAGGAGAAGCAGGGCTGGAGAAGGAGGGGTCCACGTCATTTGAAATACAGAACAGGCCCATCCCCAGACCCTTGGGAGGCATCTGCGGCAGTGTCATCTGGGACTTCTCCCATCACTCCCCGTGATCTTGGGGTGACCTAGGTGGCCTTGTCCTTGCTAGGTGGTATTATGGAGGTTCCTGCCCCTGGGGGAAGACAGGGATTCAGGCCTGAAGGATCCTGGGGCAGCACAGGGCAAAGAGAGCCCCACCTCTGGGGTTGCCAGATTTGGCAAATAAAAATACAGGACACCCAGGCGAACTTGAATTTCAAATAAACACGAAGAGGTTTTCAGGGTGCCTCTGGGCCGCTGTGCATCAGTGCCAAGCAGGGGCCCAGGAGACAATCCTGGCTTTTGTTGGCTTTTCCCTGAGAGGCAGTGGGAGTGTGGGAGGCGACAGGGCCGCTGGTCTGTCCTTCTCTGGGCTCCGTGTGCTCCAGCCAGAGCATGCCTGTTGCACCCTCAGGTTATAAGTACATCAAGTGGCCATCTGGAAAGGCCCCGAGCTGCACGAGTAAACAAGTCCCCATCCACAGGCGCCGGGGAGCCGTGAGGGACTGGCCCGGGGTGTGTGCTTTTCTCGACTTCAGGGCGCGGCCCAGCAAAGAGCATCCTCAAAGAGCTTCCAGAGCAGAAGTCAACTGAGCTCTCTCCTCTTCCCCAGCCGCCATCGATGCCAAGTCGGGAGAGTGGTTGCCAGCAGGACGTCAGGGAGAGCCTCACCTGCCCCCAGCGGGGGGCCCGAGCCAGCCTAGGGAGGTGCCCTGTGCCCTGGACAGTGGCGAGATCACCAGGTAGGGATGGGGAGGTATCCTGGGGAGGCTCCTCTGAGGCCCAGCGTCTGACGATGGAAGCAAAGGAGCGTTTCGCTGGGCCCTGAAGTGCGGTTCTGAGATCCTCGGGGGACTGTGGTCACCGCGCTTGATAACCTCAGAGCCCAAGGGGAGGGACCTGCCTCAGGAGAGTTATCAGTTGTCAGACCGGAAGGAGAGAAAAACTTACAAACATGCCCAAGAGACTAGTTTTAAGAACTGATAGGTAAACATGTTTGGGAGGGTTTGTGATTAGAAGTAATTTGAGGTCGGTGTCCTATCTTAGCAGTTGGCTTTGGAGGGGAGAAAGATGAACGAGATCAGTAAAATGGTTGGGCTCCGATGTCAGCTTCCTGAAACCGAAACTGGGCCTCCAAGAAGAAAATAAAAGTTCTTTTCTCTCCCTCTTTCCCAACGAGCACAAACTGCTGCTTGACGGGTTACTAGGGATCCTTTAGAACCTAGAAAGCACTGTTTTTCTCAATCTCTCACAGGCCCCCCTTTCAGCTCGGAGGAAGCCTGCTCAGGGGGAGGGGCCCGGCTCTGGACTCAGACCCAGCCTGTCTCCCAACTTCCGCCCACCACTTCCTCCTGGTCACAGAACGCCCTGCCGGCTGAGCGTGTCACCATAGACAAGCCAACCTCCTGCACTAAAACACTGGGCTAGAGTCATGGTGAACACGACTACGCCCTGCAGTCTCGGAAGTAGAGGGATCTTGCCACAGTGACTGTCCAGGCCTCCCGCGCCCCACCTTCCCGTAGAACAGGGAAGGACTTCCGTTGCTGTGTCCGCAGGGTCACCCTAACCTCAGTTGTGGTCACGCTCTGGCGGCAGCAGCGGCGCCTCGGGGAGCTGGGTGAGGCAGTGGGAGGGCCCGCATTCCAGGCTCCAGAGAGGCCTCAAGCCACCCACCGCCTGCAGGAGTGGCCAGGGAGTCAGAGATGACCTGCAGAAGCCCTAGCAGAGCCGGCACCCACTGAGGCAGGCAGCGAGCCTGCACCTTTCTTTCCTGCTGTGTGGGGATGAGCCAGAAGGACCTTGGAACCTGCACAGGGGAGGGGGGCAGTCCTGGATGTCTCTACCGGGCCGAGGGCGTAAAAGATGGTGAGCCCGAGGCTCACTGTGTGGTCACGTGCTCCGTGACTGTCTCCCGCTCTCCTCAAAGACAGAGGCCGTGAGCAGGGTGTTTGTCCCTGTGTTCCCACACCTGGCCCAGGGCAGGAGCTCAAAATAGGCAATGGATGGATCCTCAGGAGAAAGGAAGAGAGAGTGGCTCTCTGTCTGGCTTGACAACTCCCCTCTCTCTGTCTGTAGGGGGGAGGGCAGCCCCTGGCCCTGGAGGAAGATGAGTTGGCTGGGTGGGCCCTCATTTGCGGCAGAAGGAAGGCCCTGGAGCTCTGGGCGTGGGTCATTGGTAGACGGAATGATAGCCCTAGCCCTCGTTGCTTAACCCCAACTTTGAGGTGGTGTAAAGATGATTGCAGCCTCGTGGCTTCCAGCAGCTGGTCTTGCTGTGCAGTTGCCTTCCTAGAAAAGCCAGGAGTAAAAATGTTCGGACCCCACCATCCCACACCTCCCCACAGCCAAGTTCTCCTTTTCTTTTTTCTATCCGCTTAGCTTTGAGTAGCTGTTAACCAGGCTATGAAAATGCATTTTTTTAAAAAAAGCATTTATCCCAAGAAGAGCCAAGGCCCTCTCCCGGGAAATCTGTCGGTCCAGACCTGGAGGGGCTGACCTGCACCTTGGAACGTGCAGCGTTGCTTTGCAGTCGTCACCTCCGGGAAGGTGAGGGGCCTTGCTGCCCAGACTGTCCCGTGGCCTTGCCGACCCCGTCGGCTGCCAGCCATCTTCGGATTATGACTCAGCAGCGTTCCGAACACAAGTAGAGATTAAATGTCTCCAGAAGCCTTTTATTGCTACTCCCTTCCAGAACAATGTTCCCATTGATAAGGGAGATAATATAAGCAGGCCAGTCTTCTTTAATAAGTAATCGCCTACCTTGCAGGCCACCTCCCAATTTACCAATATATTGAAGTTTGCCTCTTACTAGGACCCAGCACCATGTGTTCCTGCAGCAGATTACGTTTTTCTAAATCGTAGGCGACTGCCATCCATGTGCTTTTTCTGCTCTGCCCTCATCCGGCCCCATCTCCTGCCAGACCGTCGCCCGTTCCTGGCTCTGGCTCCTAGCTGCCCAGACTGCTGAGCTCAACATTCTGGGGCATTAGGGGGCTAGGGGCCACTCAGAGGCCAAGCTGACCCTTACCGACAGACGCCCATCCCCGCCTCCTACAGAGTCCTTTCCAGGGGGTCCTGATGCCATCATCCCTGCAGAGTTCAGTGACAGTGGCCAGCGCCCTCAGTCCACACCGCCGCTTCCTGCAGCCCCCCAGGTGGTTTGGGGAACCTCATGGGATGGGGGGCACCTGCCAAGCCGAAGGGCGGCCCCCTGGTGTCTGCCAAAGGCCATTTTCTCCAATGCCAACGGGAGGAGCCAGCCGAGGGAGCCTCTGTCTGAGGGTGCTCTTTCGCAGCAGCAACGCTGCCCTGGGCAAACAAAGGCCACGTCCCACGGCAGAGAGGAGGCTGCCTTTTAAGGTGTATTAGTTAGGATTCTCCAGAGAAAGAGAACCAACAGGAAGTGTGTCTACACAGAGATTTCTTTTAAGGAATCGGCTCCCACAGTAGCAGAGGCCTGACAAATCCAAAATCCAAAAGTGATCAGATGAGACCCACCCACATTCTGGAGGGCAGTCTGCTTTACCCAAAGGCCACCTATGAGGAGTTCCCTGGCGGTCCAGTGGTTAGGACTCCGCATTCTCACTGCCAAGGGCTCGGGTTCAATCCGTGGTCGGGAAACTAAGATCCCACAAGCCGCACAGCACGGCCAAAAAAAAAAAAAGTCCACCTATTGAAATGTTCATCTCATCCAAAAAACACTTGCACAGAAATATCCAGACAATATTTGATCAAATACCTGGGTGCCATGGCCCAGCAATGTTGACCCATAAAATTAACCTGCACGTAAGGGTATTCATACGCATTGCCAAATCGCTCTCCAAAAAGGATGGGACCCTTTCCTGGTTGCCCTGGGTTGGGAGGTTAAAGATTCCCAGCCCTGCTGCCCAGACTTTTTTCTCCCTTCACTTCTTGCCAACTCACCTCGGCTGCCTCTGACCCTGCAACTTGACCTTGCTGCCCACTGGCTCTAAGGCCCCACGGGGTGAAGCGGGCCAGCCGTCCTGGGCCTGCACGTCTAGCTCCTCCAAATCTGGCCACCCTGTTCCATGACCGTGTGATGGGACATCCCCAGGTAACCCAGGGCTGACCCTGTGCCGTTACCATTGCCGGGAATAGCCCCAGTGCTCACCTGAGTAGTTTTTACTAGTGTCTCTCAAGTATTCCTTCTTAAAGTGTAATGGGGCTACATTTAAAGATGGTCAAGATTTTTATGTTCTGTATATTTTACTGCAATAACAATGATAAAAAATATGAAAATTAGGGAGTTCCCTGGTGGTCTGGGATTCCGGGCTTTCACTGCCATGGCCCGGGTTCAATCCCTGGTCAGGGAACTGAGATCCCACAAGCCACAGGCCAAAAAAAGAAAAAAAAAAAAAAAATCTATATATCAAAATTAGAACAGCAAAATAGGAGAAAACATCTGAACTAAATAATATGAAAGGAAAACCACCTCATTAGCCCATATAAGAAGCTTCTTTGTATGTGGAAGAAGTGTCAGCGATGCATGCCTGCTTTCACACAATTGCAGTCAGACTTACATGCTACTCTGTATTGCTCTGTTTTCAGCCTTATTCCATTCTCTCTCATATGCCTGAGTAGCCCCCATCTTCATTATTGTTGTGTGCTCTTTCCTCTGATCTACACACCGGGATTTATGACGCCTTTGCCCTAACGTTTTGCTTTTCTTTCATTCACTGGTAATGCATGTGGTGCTCAGAAACCGTGCTGGACACTGGGGCTCAAAGGTCAACTAGACCAAATTGCTGCTCTTAGGGAGTTCACCTGGAGGGACAATATTATGAGTGACATAAAAATAAATGTTGCTTTTTGAAGAAAAAAAATTAAAATTTAAAAAAAAGTAATAGGGCTGAATCTCCTCTATCCTTTTCAACCTGGTATGAAGGATTTCTTGTCTAAAGTATGGGCGGTTTTTATGCCAGCCTGTTTTTTTTTGCTTTATTGGAATATAGTTGATTTACGATGTTGTATTAGTTCCTGCTGTGCAGCAAAGTGAATCAGTTATACGTATACATATATCCACTCCTTTTTAGACTCTTTTCCCATAGAGGCCATTACAGGGTATTGAGTAGAGTCCCCTGTGCTCTACAGTGGGTCCTTGTTAGTTATCTATTTTATATATAGTAGTATGTGCCAGTCTTTTTCTAAATTTGAATTTGGAGACTTTTCAGATATTTAAGTTTTATTTTTCTGATTATTAAAGTAATAGATTCTCAATAAAAAAAAAAAAAAAAAAGGAGGCATATAGAAATGAATCCAAAAATTATGCAGTTTCCTCCCGAGTCTCACTCCCCAGAGCCGTAACGCCCATTTAGGGGGCACTTTACCACAACTGGGCCCGGAGCACAGCCACCCTACCTTCAGAGCTGTCCTATAGAAAACACTTTACAGGTGAGGAAACTGAGGCTCCCAAAACGTCAGCAGACTTGCTCACTCTCGTCACCAGCTAGAGAGCAGCACAGCGGGACTGAGAGTCCAGGCACTTCCGGTGAGCGCACCCTCTGGGCCCCCCACCCTCCTTCCCGGCCACTGGATCCCGCACTTCCCACAGACCTCAGTTTCAACCCCCAGCACACACCACACACGCACACGCACACGCACACACACACACTCCCCACTGCCCACTGGGAAGCCCTGCAGCCGGTCAGCATCTCCCTATCCCAGGGGATGCAGTGGGGGGACCCCCTCACTCGCCAAGCTCACAGTACCTGCCGTGCGCCCACTGTGTGCAGCCCGCAGATGGAGACACCCACTTATTGAAGGGCAGCTGGACTATAGGAGTACCTGCTGCCTGCCGGGAGCAGAGCTGGCGCTGACATCAGCTCATTCAATGGTGACAACAACCCTGGGTGACAACCCGGGACTCCAGTCTTCAGAGTTATTGTCCGGAAAATGGGCGCATAGATAGCAAAGGCCCCAGAAGTCGAGGTGGGAAGAAGAATTGAGCATGTATATAGCTCAATGACAGCCAGAGAGCAAAGGGCTGGGCCGGGAAGTCACATCACCAACCCCAGCTGCGGTGGCTGCAGGTGCCGGAGGAAAGCTGGCTCCTGTCTCTGTGAAGCTGGTCCATTGGGATGGGGTCCTGAGGGCGTCTGGAGGATGGCTGGCTATAAAATCCCACTGGGTTCAGAGCTTGGCCTCACTAACTGCTTGTTATGTGTGTGACCTTGGGAAAGTTTATGAACTTAGAGCCTCAGTTTTAACATCTGAAAAATGAAACATCTGCCTCTCTCCCACTCTTAAGGACCCTTGTGATTACCTTGGGCCCACCCCAGTAATCTAGGATAATCTCACACCTGCAGCCTTAATTCCCTTTTGTCATGTAAGGTCCCAGGGAGTAGGACATGGACCTAACTGGGGACCATTACTCTGCCAGCCACAGCTTTCCTCACCATTCGATCTCACAATTTAATACTCTCCCAAGTTCCCTATTCCCTTCCTTGCTTCCTCTCCTCCTTAGCATTGATTCCTCTTTCATCGTCTCCCTCCTGCCCTAAAACGTGAGCTCCGTGGGGCAGGGATTTATGGCTCTGGGTGCCCTGCTCTCCCTCACGCCCGCCGCGTGCCCAGGACAGTGCCTGCCTGCCATCTGTTAGTGCTTGGAAAGGGGGGTCCTTCCTTCCGCCTGTGACTTCAGATTGCACATTTTGTTCCAGGGAGTTTACACCAGGCTTCGCCTACAAGCCCCGGGCCCCCTGCAGCCCGGAGATCCTGGACCTGAACCCACCCAAGGCCAAGGCATCGGCTCTGGCCCCTCATTTCTCCTCGTGTGGCCCACAGCAGGCCAGCCGCCCCGGCTCCACAGCGTCCGCCACGAGGAGCCTGCAAAGTAAGTTAGCCTGCAGGGAAGGGCGCTGGCCTTCCACATCTGACTGGTGCCCCTTCCGTGCCCACCGGACCAAGGCCCGCTTCCCCTCCCCGCAGGACCAGGGCCCTAGCCAGTCGCTTCCTCTGCCCCAGGGACCGGTTCTTCACTCATCTTTCTGTTTATGAAATTGCCCTTGGCCTCAGCGGCTCATACACAGATGGGCGGAATGACACCCTCCAGGCAGTGCCACTCGGAGACAAGATCCCCCTGCGTGGGGCTTGCAGGTCAACCCCGAAATCCGAACCGGCCTTCTGGTGGGAAGCAGCCAGCAGCAGCTCAGGGTGGCCTCGAAATCAGACAGAAGCAGGTGCTTCCTCGCAGGCTGGGCGGAGGGGTCGCCCGAGGGACCGAGGGGTGGGGGTGTCCAAGGGCCCCCCTCTGTCCCTGGAGCCCCCCTCCGGCCCTTTTACTAGCGGTAAAGACCGCTTCTCTGTCCCCAGCCCGTCAGCTAGTTGACCACACCCCTCCACTCCCCAGCTGAGCCCGTAACTTTCTAAAGGGCTTTACTAAAAATAAGGGAAAACAAAAGAGAAACCGAACAAAAGAACGTCAAGCGGCACAGAATCAGTCACTCTCAGGATGTATGCAGGCCTGTGGCCAGCCCCTTCCCTTCCTGACGCGGCCCTGGGCGCTCTGGCCAGCCGGGGAGCCGTTGGGCTGGGAGCGTGTAAATGGGCCGAGGCTGGGAAGCCCGCGGGGCCCTTCCCCTTCTTTCAGCGCCCCTCTGCTGGGAAACACACGCGGGGCCCCAGCCCGGCCTCCCCACCGCGGTGCTTCCGCACACAGGTCCGGAGGAAATGCCGGCGAGTACCGTGGGGGGCGGGGGGGGGCGCGGCCAGGATAGGGGCAGGCAGGCCGCCCATCCCTGCCCGGCCTCCGGGCTGCAGCAGGCCGGGCGCCCCGGCTCTCATAACCACGGTGGCAGCACCCGGCAGCGGACGGGCTGGCCGGCGCACGGGGTGGGGAGCAGCAGATACGCGTCCCTGGGCCTCAACAGACACAGGCGCGCGGCCGGCGGAGCTCACTGAGTCCCCGCACCGGGCAGCCTCCTTCCTGTAAGGAACGAGCGTGGCCGCCCGACTCAGGCCCTGGCCGCAGAGCAGGTGACCCGGGAGGGAAGGTTCTCCTGTTGAAAGGAGGGCTTGTGTGGGACAGAGGGGGCTCTGTGCTGAGACCGGCCTGGCGCTGGCAGCTTGCCTAGATTTTCTTCTCCAGGCGGCCAGTCTTCCAGGAAGTGAGGCTGGGTTCTTCCCCGGTGTCACCATCCCGTTGCCCAGTGACCAGCCAACTTCCTGCCCTCAGCCAGCCAGCAGCTGCAGGTGACAGATGTGAAGAGACAGTTGTCAGTGAGCCGCCAGGTGGCTTCAGGGGCTGAGGGGGACAGCCCTCCAGGCATCCAGGACCAGGCCCACCACAGCCCATGCCCCAGGGTCCTGCCACCGCCCTTCCTGCCCGCCCTCCCCCTGGCACCCAGCTGGGGGGGGCAGCACAGCCAAATCCATGAGCCCGTCCATCTCGTCCATCTCGGGAGCTTCTGCGGAGGAGCCGGAGCCAGACAGCTCGGCCGGAGACGGGATCCTGGCCTCGGCGGAAACTGGCCCCCCTCACCCAGACCGAGTATGAGGAAACAGAAGGGACTGACAGTAACAGAAACTCATTCTCAAGCCCGCTGCCTGAGCAGCAGACTTAGTATTTTCTTCCTCTTTTAAAATCTGGTAAGAATGTAGTGTGTTCCCCTCTCTGGCTGGGAATATGGCTATTCCAAGGCAGCCCCGTGCTTCTGCACGTGTGTATTAAGGACTCAGAGCTCTCCCTCCATTAAGACCATAAGCACAAATAGTGCCCCAGGCAGTGTGACTGTCCCCCGCCGGTGGAGGCCTGTACTCGCTTCTTGCCGAGGGTGCCCTCAGGGCCCACGTCTGAGGACAGAGGAAGAAACTTCACTTCACTGCAGAGCCAGGAATGTTAGTCAAGCTAGTCGCAGGGTCTGACCTCTTCTAAAACACAAATATTGAAATAAAATTATCAGTATTTAGATGGTACGTGTGTGTGTGTGTGAATAAAATCACATGCTGCCCCCCAGGCAGTCCGTCTGCCCTGGCCATGCCCATTAGTGGAGACATTACTGTGGTCCCACTGGACGTAAATAAAGGATAAGCACTGCGTTTTTCAATGGCCTTCTGACTCCTCAGGAGAGCGGGCAGAGAGGTAAACGGGAGAATGTTGGAGCAGGCAAGAGGCCAGGTTGCCCCGGCGATGACTGTAAACACATCATGGGCCAGGACCCTGGGTTAATCTCGCAAGGTCTTGGCAGTGGTGCCAGGCTGGGCACATTAGAACTCTGTGGTTGTGTCACTGGCCCATCTTGATTCTCTGGAAATGCGTGAGCCCCTCTCTGTTCCTGGGGAAGGAGGCTGTGTGGAACACTGCCCTACCTTCTTGGGAATGTCAGCCTCCGGGCCCTCTGAACTCCTGGCTTGACCTCTGAAGGAATAAAGAGAAAACACGAACACTTCTCTCAGTGTTGTTGATACGGACAAACAGGAGGAGGAGAGGCTGGGTCCCTGAAATGGAAGCGCTCCGCGGTGAAACGTTGAAAAGGCAGTGTGTTTGCTGATAAACAGCAGAGGAGCATCATGGAAAAACCTCTCCCATTCTCTCCAGCACTGTCCACTCCCTTCAGATTCTTCAGATGCCACCAACTGGCACAGCCGTGCCCTGCCTTGGCGTGGGAGAAGCCCTGTCTCCAGAATCCAGAGGGAGTGGGCGGCTCATCTGTTACCACCCATAGCCTCCCTGATGCAAGGGGAACTTCTCTTTCTCCTCAAGCCTGCGGATGAGCTCAAGTGTGATTTGTAAATGTCTGGCCATTTGGGATAAAAAAACAACGTGGGCAAACTACACTGAGGTCACCAGCAGTGGCCTGGGCGGTTCCCTGGGGACTAAACATGGCCTCGGCCTCTGGGAGAGCCCTCTTGCAGACACACACTTCCACATCCCAAGGCTGATGGCACAAAAGAGACTTTGTAAAATACCAATGATTTATGCGTAAATATTCTAGCTCTCTGCTGCCCTAATGGGAGGTGGATATGAACACTGTCTACGGGGTGGGGTGCGGGGGGGAAATCAAATATACAAAACCGAAACCAGAACGTTTTCACAGGTCATCTGGAAACTGAATCATGCAGCTTTGAGGATTTGCCCATGAAACCTACTCAGGGAAGACGTGGAGAGGAGTCCATGGAACTTTGGAGAAATGGGCCTTCAGGAAGAGTCCTTCTGCCCCTGAAAGCTGATCCCAGCTCTCTGGTTACTGGCCCCTTAATTTCTCCTGAGTAGGACTTGATCTCATTTGCTTCATTCACAACAAGTGTAAAAGTCCGGCAACAGCTTAAATTATGACCCTTGGTGGGAATATAATAGGCAGGTAGAGGTTTGAGATCTAGTCAGATGCCAGGGCTCACGCGGTAGGCTGGAAAGTACTTGGCCCAAATCAAAGGAGCTAAAAAAAAAAAAAGCACAAATAAATAAGATTAACACAAAAAATCCATGACAAAGTATCAAACTTATAATAAAAACAGAATCTGGGGCTTCCCTGTTGGCACAGTAGTTAAGAATCTGTCTGCCAATTTAAGGGACGGGGTTCGAGCCCTGGTCCAGGAAGAGCCCACATGCCGTGGAGCAACTAAGCCCGTGCACCACAACTACTGAGCCTGCGCTCTAGAGCCCGCAAGCCACAACTGCTGAGCCCACGTGCCATAACTACTGAAACCTGCGTGCCTAGAGCCCGCGCACCGCAACGAAGAGAAGCCCCCGCTCACCGCAACTAGAGAAAGCCCGCGCACAGCACCGATGATCCAACACAGCCAAAAATAAATAAATTTATTTTAAAAAAAACCAAGCAGGATCTGACCACATGCTTCTGTGGCCCTACCTTGCTTGCAGAACCTTAATCCCAGCCCCGATTCCGATAAAGCTTTATTTACAAAAATAGGCAGCCAGCCCACGAGCCATAGTTTGCTGAATTGCATTAAAATATCATGTATCTTGAATCTGGGGGCACCCCTTACATTTTGTGTGCGAGGTGAATGCCTCACTGGCCTCGCCTGGGATCTGGGGAGATCCTCCTGGGGCCTCCCAGGGTGCTAATAGTACAGCCTCGTGGCCGAGGGCCTGGGCCTGCCTGCCTGACCATCTTCAGCTCTCCAGACCCTGTGGGGAGTTGTTCTAAGGAGTGATGCAGTTCACTTTTGCACATAACAAACTACCCCCAAAACTTAATGGCATAAAACAACAATTTATTAGCTTCACTAATGTGAAGGATCAGCACTAATCCACACTAATGTGTGGATCAGCAATGGAGGCTGGGCCCAGATGGGCAGCTCTCTCGGGCTTGGATGGACCCAGCTGATCAGAGGGCAGTCAAGGACCTCACTCATGTCTGGCGGTTGGCTGCGGGCTGGGTCCTGGGTTTATCCTCCAGCAAGTTAGCTCAGGCTCGTTCACATGGTGGTCTCAGGGCAACAATTGCAGTGAGAGAGATCAAACCCACGTGCTGTTCAGGTTTCTACCTGCATCACGTTTGCTGCTCTCCCATTGGCCAACACAGGTTACATGGCCAAGGCCAAGTCTGTGCAAGAGGGACCGACAAGGACCCAGAAACAAACCCGACAGGTCTGCGACAATCTACCATAGAGAGGGTGTTCAGAACTTACCTCACGCCTCAGAACCAAATCTTTCAGGATGGTTTTTCCACCGTGGCATAAACTTCCCATTTTAATTCAGTTCAACAAACGTATCCTGTGGGGCTGCTCTGCACTGGGTTGTGGAGTGTTGTGATTTTGTTAAATTAACGTTGCTTAGGTGGAGCCCCGGTGAAGGGAAAGTGCAACAGAGAAGTACCTCCGGGGGAGGTACACGGCTCTCCTGGGGTCGGGGACGGGACACACGGGGAGGTCCTGGGAGGTGGGGGAGACTATATATCACTAGGCCCTTGGGGAAGTCCTATCGGGAACTTACTCTTACCTCTGAGCTGCAGGCTGTTCCTCGGCCACGCACTAGCGAGAGGGCTGGGGTCAGTTCAAAGCCTCTGCAGCGTCAGCCACACAACAGATGCTGCAGCAACATCACAGAGGAGCTTGGCTAAACTCGCAGCAGGAGACAAGGTTCCACTGGCCTGTGAGTTGCTGTCCATCTTCTAGGAAGAAGTCCTGGCCTTTGCAGACAGCCACAGTTCAGGGCAGGGCACCAGCACCAGACTGAAGTGATGGGCAGATTTCCAGGAGGAGCTTGTAGAATTCGCAGCAAGTCAGGCCTAGAGAGACCTACACAGAGTCGTCTCTTTAAGGTGTCAGTTGAAGCCTGGGAATGGATGGGATCTCAGAGGAGGGAACTGGAGAAATAAGAAAACTAGGGCAGAACCAGGGGTGAGAGAAAGAAGAGTGGCTGGTGCAGGAGACAGTCTCCAGGGAGGAGCCAGGCTGGGAGCACATGCTCCAGAACCCGGGGAGGAAAGCAGTGCGTGGAGGGTGCTCACCATGGTCAGAGCTGGAGGAGGGTTGGGCTGCCTGAGGACACCTTCCAGAGAGCGGTGCTGGGCCAGAGGTCAGCCTGGCCCCGGGAAAAAGCTGAGGCAACGAGTTGGATGCTAGAGGCTTTGAGGTCAGTGGGGTCTCCTGGAGAAGGACGAGGGGCCAAAGTGATGGCGTGAGCTCTAAGAGGGGCAGCTGGAGCACAGGCCACGGAGCAGTGATCTTGAGGAGTGCTGGGTCCAGGCCCTGGGCCAGGTCCCACCTGGGCAGGAGGCAGTGGTGTCCTGTAGTCAGTTTGTGCCCGCTCGCTAAATGTTCAGGATTTCTATGAGCTGGTGTTGAACATAGCCATTTTCAAAGCTTAAATTTTATAAACTTAAAATTAAATAATTTCTATTAAAAACAAAGGTAATAAATACTCAAAACTCATCCCTTCCTAGTTTTACTGTTTATATTGTCTACATCCTGGAGGATACATACACCTGTTGTATTTGTAGGAGGGAGATACACTATAATGCTGCCTACTATGCACCCCTTCACAAGTCTGTGTTCAGTGACATCACTTTGGTAGCTTGAAATTGGCTGTGATGGGGACACTTACACCACAGAAAGTGACGAACACTACAAACCAGGCTTCCCCCTGCCCCCCAGCAGCAGAGCCGGTTGCTAAGGCGTGTGCAAGGTGCAGCCTGGGGCAGAAGGTTGGGTGGGTCAGGGGCAAGTTGGAAGGATCAGGGCAGTGTGTGCCCCCTAGAACGGCAAGGGGGACACGTGGCGCGGACTGGTGGTGGCTACATCACTTCACTTCCAGACCTTTGCCCTGCAGGAGCTGACGTGGCGCCTTGCTCCTGGGTCACATGATAACTGAGGGTGACATCTGGTCACTGGGGGTGCCCTTGAGCACCTTCCCCCTTGACACACTGCTGCTGATTGCACTTGCGTTATTTCTGTGCCGCCTAGAAACACAGCCGCCATGTGTGCTTAAGGGTACGGCGCTGCTGCTGCCTCCCAGTCACGGTGGCGGGCCACCCTCCCAGAGAGTCAGGAGGGCTCCCCAGATACACTCCTAGGGCTTTGTGTTCTGACTCTGAAACACCCAGGTGGGAGCACTGACAGGGCTGAGGAGGAGATAAGTGTGGATGCCCTCCTCACGTCAGCGGGTTCCCGGGCAGCACTCAGGCCAGGCTTGAACCCAGGCAAAAGCATCTTCAAGGCGGAAGCCAGGCTGAGGGTCCCAGTGACTTACAAGCACAGAGGGGCAGGGTCTGGGCGTACTGGGGACCTGGCTGCACCGGCAGAAGGCAGGCATAGAGCCTGGATAAATTGCCTAAGCCAGAAGCAAGAAGAGTGCAGGCGGAAGTGGCTGGGACTTGAACTGGGGGACACTAGCGCCAGGCCAAAGGCCAGTCTTCCAGGGCCGCCCTGGGGGGCAGCATGACTGGAGGGCTTGGGGCCTCCTGGGCGCCCCGGGGCCCCGGGGCTTGAGGGTCGATTAATGTTTTGGTGTGGGGTTCCCAGCTGGGCCATCTTCAGGGGGACCCAGTTTCTGAGCCCAAAGCCCCACAGGTGAGGCCCCAGTTGCCCAGGGCAGAGGGGCCCAGAGACGGGGGGCAGGGGGAGCGTTGGGCGTGGGCTCCCGGGCAGGGATACAGTGACCAGGACTTTCCATCCACAAAGGGCATGGAGTAGGGGGCAAGTGGAAAAACACAAAAATCAGGCAAAAGAGAAGGATTTCTGAGCTTTTGGGGGCCCCCTGGGAGGGACACCTGGAAATAGGGAGGTGGGAACCTGGCTATCACTGGGCCGCCTTGGAACCCCAAGGAGACCGACTCCCCCATCACCAGAAAGGGGGCCAAGCCAGGCCCGGCCAGTCCCTCCTCTGAGCAGCCAGGGAGCCTGCACCCTTGTTGTCCCAGTGACTGCAGAGCGTAGGGAAGAATGGAGTGACATTTCCATTACAATGACTTCAAGGAGGATCAAGTACTAAGAAAGGTGCAGGGGGGCAGCTGGCAAGGGAGAGCCTTGACCGAGAGGCTGCAGAGGCACCACCAAAGCTGAGGTGTAGGGTGGCGTCTCCCAACAGCGACATGGCTTTAAGGCGTCGTGACCCTCTGCCGCACCATCCGTGGGGCCGTCCCACCCGTGTCTGGTATTCCTTGGTGATCAGAAACTCGGGTGCTGCCACGGGATGCCTGAGCAGACAGACCTCCCTCCAAGTAGGGGTCTCTCCTCATCCCGCCCTCACCACATGGTCCAAATGGAGATCCCATTCTCTGCCTTGACCCTGGCCCCCCTGGAGTCATGCGGGGGGGAGGTGGACTTGAGCCACACCAGTCAGACCTGGGGGCCCCTTTCCCTCTAGATGGCGAAGCTGAGATGCCGGCCGCGTTCCCTCCTGCAGGAGGAGAGAAGGAGGCGCCACTGAGGAGGAAACAGAGGTGAGATCCCTGGACAGAGTCCTGCTTGCAGCCGTCTCCAGCAACACCCTGATCCTTCCTGCTCATCTGGGCCAATAAATCACTGATAAATCCCTGCCTTTTTGATTGTGTGTTTAATGATTCTTCGTGTTGGGTGTCACTTACCATCAAGCCTGAAGATTTGAAGCAGTGACCTACCCGCTTAGACTCGGGTTGCTGGCGGGTTCTGCCGGCCACATCGCTCCCAACCTTCCTTCAAAACCCACCTTCTCTTAGCGGCTGGGGAAAAGCGTCGCTAACTCTGCTTCTGATTATTTTCATAGGCAACTGCCCTCCCACTCACCCACGTGCTCCCCGCTCTGGCCCACAGGAAGTGTGGCCTGATGCTGTGGCTCGTCCCCTTCCGCCTCAGGTCTCTTCAAGGAAACGTCGTTTGGCTGGGTCCCTTGTGATTCTTTAGCAACATACACCCCCCTCATGAAGTTCCAAACCACTCACCCTTCGTTCTTGAGAGAACAATTTTCCACCTGCACTGTTTTTTCCATCCCTCTGTGATGTGTGTAAATGTAAGACTAGGAGGGGACAAGAGAGGTGACCATGAGGCCGGGTGTGGGGAATCGGCAAAGGGACCAAGGGTGATGCTGCAGTGACAAGCTCGCGGTCTGCTGGGGACTAGACTCCCTCCACAGCCTCGGTCGTAAGGGTCAGGGGTCCTGCAAGGATTCGGAGGTCATCATAAGGCAGGAGCAGCAGCAGGCCAAACAAACTGGACCAAAAAGTCAAGGTCATAGTTGTGGTTAAATACATCCTCTCAGAAACTCAGTCTGGCTCAGGGATAAAACACACTGCCATCTTTTTCCTGCACGGTGGTGTGGCTAACAAAAAAGGTTTCTGCCAGAAGGTAAGCTACCATGACTACTGCCTAGGGTGGGTCAGGTAGGCACTGAAATGCCTTCACTGCTGTTTCTGGCCCCCTGGAACGGCTCTGGCCTTTTCCCCTCTCTCTGTGCCCTGGAGCAGACCTCCCAGCGCTGGGCTCCAGGCTCAGACTCCCCGCCCTCACTCACGCCTCCGTTGGTCAGCTTCTGCTATTACAACATCAGATCCAGGCTGGGTTTTCTTTTCTCCTTTGTTGGTTCTCCAACATCTATAATCAGTGGCTCCCCTGTACCTGCAGTGACCCTCCCATGTTAAGGAAAGATCTTGGGTCCCACTCTCCAGAATCATGGGGCCCCCGGCTCTGAAAATGCTTTTATCCACTCCTGTCCCTCACCCCACCCCTCACAGACCCGCTTCCTCCCAGCGCTTCTCAGGTCTCATCTTTCTGGGGCTCCTGCAAATCTTCCAGCCCCTGCTCCAGCCAGATGACAGTTCAGGAAGATGGGAGGGCACCAGGGACTTCACCCTGCGACAAGAGGGTCTAAGCAGAAAGGAGCGGAGGGAACCTCCCCTCTGTCCTGGCGCCTCTGGCTCCATAAACTGAGAATCGAGATGGTATCCTGTGTCTAAGGTGAGCCTCAAACCAAGACCAAACCGATCCAGAACTGTGGTCCACGCACGACTGGGCCAACATGGCTTGAACCACAAATCCCAGAGAGAGGAAGCTTCCAGTCAAAGAAGAAATGATTCCGCCAGTGTCTCCCCTCCCCATTTTGATGGGGAGAGCAGGATGGGGTGGGGAATGGGAAAAGAGCTGCCACTCAGAAGTGGGGGCTGGGAGGACCTCTGAAGACAAGGCCTCCCTTGGCCCCCTGGCTTCTCTGGAAGTGGATCAGCTCAGTCTTCCACGGCCAAAGGCCTTGCTCTCCTGCAGGGAGCCCGAGGCTGTTGAGAGGGATTTCCATCCATGGGAAATAGGGTGGGAAGGGGCGTCAAGCCCAGCTCTCCCGGTCCTGCTGGAAACTTCCTTGGTCAAGCAGGACTGGGTGTGAGGTTTCACCTTCCCAAAGCAGCCTTAGCTGAAGGGGAGAGGGAAAAGTCAGCACGAAGGTGAGCCTTGCGGTTTCATTCCTTCCATGTCCGAAGCCCAAGGGGGAGGCCGCACAGGCGGGCAGCTGCCTACAGCCCAGACATCTTTGGCACACAATGTCACTGTGTCTCTGCCAACCCTGGACAGGATCACATCGTCCCCTTATCCCTGGATGAGGGATGCTCTCCCACGGTGCCCGGAGCAGGCTGGGGTCTCCACTGGGGCAGGGGTCCAGGCCCCGAAATGTGTATCACCCCGCATCTGTGTTATCACTTTCTAGGCAGAGTCCGGCTTCCTGAGACCCTGCCCTGTGCTGGGGGGAGGGTAGCAGGACCAGCAGCCAGGCGATGGAGGGGCTGAGCGGATCGCCGGCCCAGGCTAGGGTCAAGGGGCCCACACCGTGGAGAAGGACGGCCCCGCGGGCTCCCAGGGAGCAGTTAGCCCCCAGGAGACACAGGCTTCTCCTTCCTCCCTGTCCCTGGCCGACAGCCCACGTGTGCCTGCCCTTCCCCACACACCCCCATTCCTCCTTGGGCCTCTGCTGGGACACCAGCTCCCAGGAGGCCTTTCTTACCCCTCCCCCCCCATCACAGCACAGACACCCTGGAGGTTTTTGCCGGGAGCTCTGGGAGGGCAGGGAGGGCCTCTCCCCAGTGTCCTGTGGGGTGGGCACAGCACACCTGAAGGTGCAGGATTCACCGGCGCAGGGCCAGTGGCCTGGAGTCAGCATCCCGAGAGCACCAGGGCCCTGGCTCTCGGTCCAGGGCTCCCCCGCTGGAGCTACTCCTGGCTGGGCCTCAACTCTCCTCCCTGCAAACCACAAACCCCCTCAGGGAGCCCGTGTCTAGTACTGCTGCTGCTGCTTTTTAATGGTTTTACTGAGGTGTCATCAACATATAATCAACTGTAAATTGTCTAGTGTACAATGTGATCAATTCGGATGCGTGTAAACACCCATGAAACCACGCCACAAGCAGCAGAGTGAAGAGACCCATCACCCCCAAAGGCTTCCTCCGGCCTCTTGGAACCTCTCCCGTCTCCTCCCCCCACCTCTAGGTGATTTTTCTGTCATTAAAGGCAGGTTTGTATTTTCCCAACTTTTACGTACACACTAGAATCATACAACAGGTATTCTTTCTGGTCTGGCTTCTTTCACTCAACATAATTATTTTGAGATCTATCCCTGTTGTGGTGTGTATCAGGAATTTAGTCCTTTTTATTACTGAGCTGTAGTCCGTTTTATAATACCACCATTGGTTTATTTAGCTACTAAAAATAAAGATGCCGTGAGCGTTCATGTACAAGTGTTTGTAGGGACTGAGGATCGTTTCCCTTTGATAAATACTTAGGAGTGGAATGGCTGGGTCCTGTGATAAGTATATGTTTAACTTATTAAGGAACCATCAAACTGTTTTCTGAAGGTGTTGCAACAATTGACATTCCCACCCCCAGTGGACGAGAGTTCCAGGGGCCCCGCATCCTCAGGAACACTCGATGTGCTCAGACTTGGTAATTCAGACCTTCTAATACACTGTAAAATGATCCCCCCATCTAGTTAATTAACAGCCATCACTTCACAGAGTTATTTATTTATTTATTTATTTGGTGAGAACATTTAAGTTCCTCTCTCAGCAAATCACAAGTATACAATACAGTGTTATCAACTCTAGTCACCATGTTTCACCTCAGATCTTTAGACCTTATTTATCTTTTTTTTTTTTTTTTGCTGCTGCACTGCACCGTTTGCAGGATTTTAGTTCCCTGGCCAGGGATCGAACGCAGGCCCACAGCAGTGGAAGGACGGAGTTCTAACCACTGGACCGCCAGGGAATTCCCCTTATCCATCTTATAGCTGAAAGTTTGTACCCTTTTATCAACCTCTGCCTATTTCCCCCACCCCCAGCCCCTGGCAACCAATTTTCTCTTTTTATGTGTTTGACTTTTTTCTTAGATTCCACATATAAGTGATAACATGCAGTATTTATCTTTCTCTGTCTGGCTTTTTCACTTAGCATAATGCACTCAAGGTCCATCCACGTTGTCAAAAATGGCAAGATTTGGGCTTCCCTGGTGGCGCAGTGGTTGAGAGTCCGCCTGCTGATGCAGGGGACACAGGTTCGTGCCCCGGTCCGGGAAGATCCCATGTGCCATGGAGCAGCTGGGCCCGTGAGCCATGGCCGCTGAGCCTGCATGTCCGGAGCCTGTGCTCCACAACGAGGGAGGCCACAACAGTGAGAGGCCCGCGTACAGCAAAAAAATAAAAAAGAAATAAAAATGGCAAGATTTCCTTCATGGCTGAATAATATTCGTGTGTATGTGTGGTGTGTGTGTGTGTGTGTGTGTGTGTGTGTGTGTGTGTGTGTGTGTATCTCACATCTTCTTTATCCATTCATCCATTGACAGCCGCTTAGGTTGTTTCCATATCTTGGCTATTGTGAATAATGTTGCAGTAGACATGGGTGTGCAAATATCTCTCTGAAACACTTTTTTCATTCCCTTTGGATATATACCTAGAAATGGGGTTGATGGATCATATGGTAGCTCCTTTTTTAATTTTTTGGAGGAAACTCCATATTATTTTCCATAGTAGCTACACCAATTTACATTCCCACCAAAAGCACACAAGGTTTCCCTTTTCCCCACATTCTCACCAACACTTGTTATCTTTTCCTCTCTCCTATAAGAGCCATCCTAGCAGGTATGAGGTGACATCTCATTGTGGTTTTGACTTGCATTTCCCTGATGATTAGCGATGTTGAGTACATTTTCATGTACCTGTTGACAATTTGGATGTCTTCTTTGAGAAAATGGCCATTTTAAAATCAGATTGTTTGTTTTTTTGCTGTTGAGTTGTTTGAGTTCGTTATATATTTTGGATATTAACCCCTTATCAGATATATGATTTGCAAATATTTTCTCCCATTCCGCAGGCTGCCATTTCATTTTGTTGATGGTTCCTTTACTGTGTAGAAACTTTTTAGTTTCATGTAGTTCCACTTGTTAATTTTGCTTTTGTTGCCTTTCCTTTGGTATCAAATCCAAAAAAAATCCCAAAAGTTGCCAATACTCATGTCAAGGAAATTACCCCCTATGTCTTTTTCTAGGAGCTTTATGGTTTCAGGCCGTAATCCATACAAGTCTTTAATCCATTTTGAGTTGATTTGGGGTGTGGTATAAGAGAGGGGTCCA